CACCCGGCCATGCCAGGCCGTATCAGTTTTGTATAGGCAGAAAAGAGCAACATTAAAAAAGTTATTATACGAGTCAAAACCTAGTAGACTAATTTTACACCAACTGAAAGGTGATTTATTAAGCCTAATAAGAAGAACCAGAGAGATTGGATACTCTCGCCCCGCCGCTCCTTTCCGACATTGCATACGTTTATATTAGATAACGTGAAATTTTTCCTTCGAAAAATCAGAAAACCATTCTCAGATCCAGAATGATCAACGATCCGGATCATTTTTTGTAGTGTGATGAGGAGTTTCAATCTTAATGTGCCCATAAAATTTGGTGCAAATCCGATCGCACTTTACAGAGATATTAACCAAAAACCGCGAAAATGCCCTATCTTCCATTATAAAAAAATGCTTCAAAGTGATCCAGAGTTGGATTCGGACCAAAATTGGGTAAAACTGTTTCCTATTGACTTCCATTCTTGTATAAAATCTTCGCTTATATCGATGTATTAGTTTTCGAAATACGAGCGCGAAAACACAGACACACACATACAAACAGACCCGACTGCAATACCCTTGCAGGGCGAGGGTAATTATATGTACATTAATTGGCTTGTTAACTACCCTCAACTACATCTTATTTTATTTACCAAATTCAGCAATTTGTGATTTGAAATAACAAAAATATTTTTTTCGTTTGTTATTATATAATAAGTTAGCAAAATCTGTAAACCTAGATGCTACTCGTTAACTTTTGTTCCAGTATTTTTTACGACTTAATTAAATTGATTATCCAAGTATGCACAAGAAGTTGTCTTGTCATCTAGTGGTCTGACCTTGTATTTTTTGTTTGTATGCTAAGATTTTCTAACATCTTCACAGAACACCTGTAAAAAGCAGATGCCCAGGAGAAACTAAGTGGTGCCATCTGGTGTTGTTTCTGGGGGTCATCTCTACGGCAGTGAGAACCAACTACAATATGAAGGGGGGTTGAACTACTCATGGCAATCAAGGTTGTTTTGTCAGACGTCCTTAATGAGCCATAAATAAGCTATTTTACCTGAAGACATATTAAAATTAATAAACAGGTGGCATCGTACTCTAACACATAATTGCAGTATACCAGCATTTATACTTAAAGCCATGGTTGCTATGTATCTGACGAACGTCTGGGACTCTAGGTGATAACTCAATTGACCTATTTAGGCTCCGGTGTATGTTATAGTGTACAACTGGAAAGTTTCTTATAAATTTTAACATGCTTTAAAATGACATAAATTATAAGGATATTGATTATTAGTGGACTGTGTAGCAGGGTTTAATAGCTAGAATTAAACCAAGTTCAAACAGTAACCGTTTTATTGTCAGAGAAGCAGGGAAATCCTATAATGCCAAAGAAATACAACGTAGAAAATGTATTCGGTTCTTATATAACTGAACATCACTCTAACAAACATTTACAATTATGTATATATATATATAAATATATTCGAGGTATAGGCAATATAAGTCCGTTTATTTCATAATTTCAACCTTCTATTTCACTAGTTTTGGTTTCTACCTTAAATAAAAGATTATATTACCTGCAGATCTTTAGCGTTGGAGAAGAATGTCGAACACTGGAGACACCGAAATGACTGTGGTTGAAACTGAGCATTGGAGGAAGTGTGAGTAGAATCTTTTTTGTGGTTCTGCATATGTGAAGTCAGAGCCGCCGCAGTGTTGTAACCTCGATTACAGACCGTGCACTGGAAAGGCTTGGCATGATCGTGAGTCTTCATATGGATCTTGAGGTGGTCACTCCGTGAAAAGGCGGACTCGCAATGCGGACAGCGGTACTTTTTATCTCCCGTGTGGAGTTTGATGTGACGGTCGCGGCTTCGTTTGTGTTTGAACAGCCGCTGGCAGTAGTCGCATTTGAACGGCATCTGATCACTGTGAATCTGAAGGGACAAAAACATTCAAACCAATAACATGTTTAACGTAACCATCATAATTAGTTATGTTATAAAGCTTTAAATTAGAACTACCAGTTACACACTTATTAGGTGGTAACAATCTTGTTACGTAACACATCATCATAAAAATCAAGTAAATTATGTTTTCAGACTACTTATTTACAAGTTATTTCAGAGTCTAATCTTCTAATAGTTATTTGTAATCAAATTAAGCTTCACAGCTTATAAATAACGTTGTCAAGTTTCGGCATTTCTCTATTGAATTAAAAAGTTATAACTTATTACTGATGTTGTTATTGTTCTTTTCTCGTTGCCGTTACTTTGAATATACCTCACAGATGTAATTCCTTGTTTTGACATCTATAATTCGTATTCACTTTTCTCTTGTACATGGCTAATTTGATGTAAATATATATATAGTTACGAAATATTATAGATATCTTTAACATTGAGTAACTATACAGTTTATCAGTGTTATAGATATCTATAAGATTTATAGTTTAATTCCCGTTAATTTTAAGGGAATTACAGCTTACTATGGGTGTCGCCATTTTTTTAGCACATAGCTACTTCAATATGATCTCCCACGTTTTTAGTGAACAAAAAAAAATTGTAGCATTCAACAAAACGGTTGTGAACGATTTATTTTTTAGAACAAATGTTCTGAATTTTACTCAAAGCTAGACAAGGGCTATCTGCGCTAGTCAAACATTTCCCATACTCTTTCATCAACGAATAGCGAGATTGACCGTCACGTTATAATGCCCACACGGCTGAAATGGCGAGCATGTTCGGTGACGGGAAGTAAAACCCGCGACCCGCAGAAAACAAGAGAGGAAATATCTATCATTATGACATAACAAATTATTTTTTCATACCCAAGAAGCATATAAATTATTTTTAAGCTTAAATCGTCGAGACAAGTAACAATTTTTATTTGTTACACATACATTGTGTTTTAAAGCTACCCATATTATGAGCTTAATTATGTAACAGACTGGTCCAGACGTAATCAGTGCTAAGTTTTATACACAGTTTAGAAAGAGAAAAACAATCAATGTCATGGAACAGTGAAGGAAAATCAATAGGACGAAACAAAATACCAAAAGAGGCTCTCAGAAATAATCAACCATAGCTTCGTAAGAAATTAGATTGTTTAGTCTTCTTCGTCACTTAGTTATGTATGGTTTGATGGAAAGTTAAAAGCCTGGTTATATAATTTGTTAGGTTTGTTTCTTATTTTTATTCTTAATATTTTTCTAAATAATTTGAAATACCCTTTCAATAGTAATTCATAATAATGGGAAGGCTTTCAATGCTCCTAACATTTCATATCACTTATTAATCTCTGGAACTTTTTTTTCTTCGTGTAAAGCTACACAATTTGCTATCTGCACTCTGTCCACCGCTGGAAATCGAACCCCCTGTTTTAACGTTGTAAATCCGTAAACTTACAGCTGTCTCAACGGAGGACTTACTTTTATCTGAAAACATTATGTGTATGGGTAGGAGAATTACTCTGTAAAATTGCAAGAGAGTCACTTGTCATTGGTGTAAGGTGTTTGATCGTTCAGCGGGTTCGTTTGGATTACCTGGTAGAACTAAAGCCAAGTCCAGTTCACGTAACGATAACGAATTAATTTATTTCGTCAATAACGTTTGTCACAGGCTACTTCACTTTGACACAAGTTGTAGGACTAATACACTAATAATGTTCAACACAAGTTTCCTTGATTGATAACAAACCTGACTAACTTATGATTAGCTCAATAGAAACACGAACTCTCAGTGAAGAACTTCACTTGATCAATCTTCTCTAGATCAAAAACTACTTGATTCTTCCACTGAACTAACTCGATTATTTTATCACATCAGCAGCTCCCTCTACCAAACATTTAAATTAAAATATAACTTACAACACTATTAGATGCATTGTAGAGTTACGAAACATCTATCGTTGCACGTATACCAATTTAAGATTATATATCTCACATTAAAAAGATCGATCGAAACATTTTGATATTTGAATCAAATTAATTGAGTTTTTTTTATGGTTTTAGGAATGTAGGTGTGTGTGTGTGAAAAAGAAACAAATAATCTCCATTTACTACTATTATTAAGTAAGATTGGGAATTTTTACTATACTTAACTTTTTTAAAACTATGCTGTGCCTAATTCACATAGGAAGCCTATTAAATTTAGGTGTATCAATAAACCTGTAAAAACAATTATTAAGACTGTGGACATTACTTTAAATAAAATGCTATGTTAAAAATATGCACACATAACGCCCCCCCCCCTGATCCCAGTGGCTCAGCGGTAAATCTGAAAGTGTATAACGCTAGAAAACAAGTTTCGATACCCGTAGTGCAGTGTAAGACTAGAGGGAAGGCAGCTAGTCATCACCGCCAACTCTTGGGCTACTATTTTACCAACGAATAGTGGGATTGACCGTCATATTATAACGCCCCTATGGCTAAAAGGGCGAGCATGTTTGGTGTGCTGGGGATTCGAACCCGCGACCCGCAGATTGCGAGCTGAGCGCTCTAACCACACCTGGCCGTGTTAATACATTAATTGTTATGTAGTTCCAAAATCCTTACCTTTTTAACATACTAAAGTTTTTGTTTTAATTTAGAGTTGCTTGATTTGTATAAGTCCTGATAATGATTCCAAGAAAGAAAAAAGAAAATGATCAACATACTGCTGGTGAAACTGGTTAATAACATAAGTGACTTTCTAAGCAAGAAGAGGTATCTTTTAAACCTAATTATTATGAGCCTGGAAGTTTTATATACGCTATAGAAGTAATTAAATTGCAGTGCAATATCTATAAATAATGTTTATTCTGTTTTGTATTTACGGAGGTATTTCTATGACTATATAAAAGATGAGCTTATATATATATATATATCAGGTTGGATATAAACTGGCGGCAGGTATAACCAGTAGAAAGAACAAAGTAAACTTAATAGTAATTTTTATCATATTTTTTTTATTTTATAGAATTCACGTAAAATTAACATTCATTCTTGGAATATACGCTCACTTTTTAAAGTATTTTTTGTCAATTTTGATAATAGTATTACGACTGATAATCGTGCAGTTTAAATACCTATTCTGTTTTATATTCTGCTATAAAAGCTTTTAGAATAATTGAAGTTAAGATAATCTTGAAAATTAGCTTTTTACAGATTAAAACATCATCACAATTATTATTTGAAAGTAATTCTCAACATACAGTGAGAAATGAGACAAGGGGTGTGCGAGAGTGTGCGTATGTTGTGAGAAATAGGATTTTTATGGTTTAAGTGACGATAAATCATTGATTTATCTCAATGTTTCATTAACGGTCCCTTACTTGCTCGTGCCTTTTGAGATAGCTTAGGCGAGGGAAAGCCTTTTCACAAAACTGACAGGCGTAAGGCGTGCTTTCTGTCACCCCAATAGTGTATGTGAGATCAACATCTGGGTCCGAGGGTGTGGCACAGCTAGTGGGTGACAAGGAAAGGGACTGGTCATCAGGGGTATCCGAAGACCGCCAAGAAGTGGGGGTTCCTGTGCCCCCATTCAACCCTAAAGAAAGAAAGAAAAAGAGGTAAAATGAATGAGATTATATACCAATGAAATCGTCATCTGAAAAGTGGGTTTCTTGAAGAAGAAAAACACACAATCAAACTTTCTTATCACGATCAATTAAAGATACACATTGAGCTTGTATTTGTAGCCTCGTTTACTTAAAGGCCTTGTCACAGACACATCATAAACCAATGCAATGGTCAGTAGACCTACCTTTTCCTTGAACCACGAGTTTTACCAGAAAAATAGGTTATTTTTTTTAGACTTCATATTTGAACATAGCACATATAAAGTAATTAATCGATAATATACGTTGCTGGCAGAAAGTAAAGCTGTTTGTTTCAGTATTCGCGCAAAGCTACACAAAGGATGTCTGTCTTGACAACCTTAATGTTGAAATGGCAGACAAGAAGGAAGGCATTTAGCCAACAGCACCCACCACCGACTTTTGGGCTACTCTATTCGTATAGTGGGAGTTGATCGCCAATCTTTAACGTACTCACGGCCCCGAAGTTGAAATTTGGCAAAGGACGGCATTGTATTGCTTGTATTGTATATATGTATATCTATGACCAAATTCTATACGTATTTGAAACATCTCACACTTGAATTTAAAGTTCAGTATGTATAATGCCCATATATATCGCGTTTATTTTGTTGCTTTCACAAATGTTATATTTTAATTGATATATATATACCTTTCCTTCAGTTTTGTTAAACAGTGAGTGAATTTCATGTCACTGCAAATACTGTAATGGCTTTCAAATCACGTTCATGAATATAGTAAGAGTTTATTGGTCTTACTTCTCAGTATTAACGCTTTATTATATCTTCTCAATATTAACGCTTTATTATATCTCTAATAACTTAATTACTTATATTGCACCGTCGTGAAATTGGGAGTTTCTTTGTAGTTGAGCACAAAGCTACACAACGGGCTGTCTGTGCTGTGCCCACCACGAGTATCGAAGCCCGGTTCTTAGCGTTACAAGTCCGCAGACATACCGTTGAATCACGAGGGGTCATAAGACAAAAGGAATAAGCTATTTGCTTTCCGATTTTAAATCACAGTTGAATGGATATTTCTTGGGCTTCAGGACTTTCAATACAATACCGTAATAATCGCATAAACTAGAAATATGACTATCGTCACAAAAATGACAGATTTTTTCACCAGTCTTGTTAAACAGTGACTGATCTTCAACTTAGTTTGTTTTCACATATATTAAAAACATTCTAAAAACCTCTGAAAAACCGCAGGGGGAATCAAACCCCGGATTTTAGAGTTGTAAATGAATAGGTTTGCCGTTGACCCACCGGAGGACAGCAAACAAGTTAATATGCAGAATGATAGAAATAACGACCTTAAAGTATTTCCTGTAATTATAAGAATTTCAAACTCCATCAACGTTACTCAAATATTAAAAGAATTGGTCTATAAATAAGAAATAATAGTTTGTTGTTGTTTTTTTTTTAGGGCGAGCGCGGGCCAGTGGTTAGCGTGTTAGACACTGGAGATGAGGTTCTGTGGTGGTCCGCCTTCTACCCCCCTCCAAAAAGATTCGGGACGGTTATTGCAGATAGCCCT